TGTGTAACTTATGAAATTTTCAAAGAACAAAAGCTTGAGTGATTTAAAAGATTAAAATAGCAAAAAATAAGAAAAAATAAATAAAAGTGTACAAAAGGGCAAGTGTTCCAATGTCTTTAATATGAAAATATCTTTGATATGAAAACGTCTCAGATTGCGTCTCTTATCGAGTGCTCGGTACCGTGCCTGAAAAACATGAATGCCAAGTGAGTGATAGACCGCATGATCGGGATTGCCCACACTTATAAAAATAAAATAAATGCTAAAGTAAAAAAAAAAATATAAAAAAACAGAAAAGAGAGCTAAAAAAGAGTAGAAACTCAAGCATAAAAATAAAAAGATTCAAAAGCAAGGTTGCACACCTTGGAGGCTTATCAAGGGTCTTGATCCTTTATCCCCTTTTTCTACAACTATTAGCCTAACCACGTAACAACCCTTCAAAAGACCTTTTTGAGGTATACACACACTTTTGCGAGGTTCGGTTAGAGCTACGTTCGGCCTGATTCCTAACGGATACGTAGGCAACCTCACATCGAGGTGCGGCCGTAATAAACATGCATTCATATTCATATTCACACACCATGATCATATCAAGGGATCTTCAATGCTCATCCCTATCTACTTAAAGCTAGACTTGATCCTTACATCATTAGCTTACCTAGCCTAAAAAGTCACCATCATTTGACTCTTCTTGAAATAATATTTTCCCACACACTTAGCCCTTGCGGCCTAACTTTAAGTATCACTTTCACACACCGCACAGATAGATGACCAAATATACCTTCCCTTAGGAACCCTTTGTCATGAAATCTTAACATAACGCTGAAGCATGCCTTGTCATGTCAAAATCGCTCATCAATTATCATTGCATCACAAAGTATGAAGTACTTAGCCTTCGCGCCTATGTTACCTAAATACATTCATTATTGAGTCAACTAGGATAGTGTAAGCTGTTACAATTCTTGTACAATGAGAAACAACGTTAACGGATTAAGCTCATTCAACATGCACCTTCAAAAACTTCGCTTCTTTCTATTTCGCGTCTTTGTTTTTCATAACAAAGTCGGTACCCTCCACAAAAATGACTGAAAGTTTTTGTTTTTTTGCATTTTCGAGTCGCACGATCACAATACAATGCACACACGAGTCATGAGTCAAACGTGTCATTTCACTTCGAGTCGAGTTAACCTCGAGTCAATCACAGCGAGTCAAATTTATTCCTTGAGTCGTGTCAAGTCAATGAGTCAAGCGACATTAAACCTTAGGTCAACCCTAAAATAATTAAGGAAATTCGCTAAGTCCTATAGTCAAAGATAAATACAGGTGCGTCCCAGCGGCAGCAAGAGCAGAATAGGGAAGAACCGACTCCAACGCTAGATGACAACATCTAGCGTCTGGCAACAGATTTCAGCGCCTGTCGCTAGATCCCAACGTCTGGCATCAGAGCCGATTCTTGGCGCCAGAGATATTTCAGTAGCGACAGAGCTCGAAGCCTCTTAGAACGGTTATTTCGACCTCATACAACAATTTTGGGTTCCTTGATACGCCAGTTAGCCCTTATAAGCAAATTGACATGATTAGTAGTCGGTTCGATTACAATCGTAGTAAGTGATTGACTTGACTAAAAATCATCTCACTTAGCTTAAGCGCCTAAAACACTGGCTCATTACAAACACCATGGTATCGGTTTAAAATCAAGCACTTAAACGACAATATTTCCAAATTTTGATTGTCACGCATTCTTCTTAAACGACAATATTTCTAAATATGGATTGTCGCGTATTCTTCTTAAACGACAATATTTCCAAATATGGATTGTCACGCATTCTTCTTAAACGACAATTTTTCCAAAAATTGGATTGTCATCCCTAACTGACAATATTTCCAAATATGGATTGTCGTGCATCTTCTTCAACGACAATTTTCCCAAGATTGGATTGTCATCTCTGGCAAAGTTTCCAAGCGTGGATTGTCGTGCTCCTTATTTGTTTGGCAAGTCTTTCCATGTTCGGATTGTCATCGCTGGCAAGTTTTCCGAGATTGGATTGTCATACACCCAGTTCCCTATGGCAAAATTTCCCAAAGGATTGTTGTAGGTCTCTATTCATCATAAATTTCGGCAATGGTTCCTCAATGTGGAATGTCATTCATTTCAGTAAGTGAAAATTTTTCCCAAAGTGGATTGTTGATCGACTCTTTTTTGGTAAATGTTCTAAGACGCGGATTGTCAATTGTGGAAATATTTTCCTAAAAGGATTATCGCAGAGCATTGGCAAATTTCCAAGGTGGATTGCTTTCAAGAGTATATTCCAAGATGTGGATTGTCGATTGTAGGAACATTCTTATGATAGATTGTTGCGAAGCATTGGCAACTTTTCCCAAAATTGGATTTTGGCAAATTTTCTGAGATACGGATTGTCGCTTCATCGTAGCAAAATTTCCAAGGATGGACTGTTACGTGGCATTGACAACTTCCCCTAAATCGGATTGTCATACATCATACAAGAGTTGTGTTGGAAACTATTCCCAAAGAAAAGAGGATTGTCATCACAGCAAAAGCACCGACATACTGGTTCACAAGCAGCAAAATGTCGACGTATTGGCATAGCAGCATTAAGGATCAAGAAGCAGTGGTCTTTTCGAAGACTTTCACGGCAAAAATTGGAGGCAGTTATAGGCGTAGCAGTCTTCAGGCGGTATTCTCTAGCTTGCAGAAGATCATTGAATCAAACAGCAGGATGACGTTCCCTAGCTTGTGGAAGGTTATCACAACAACAACAATGCAACAACAATAAGTCGGTTACCCTCAGAAACGTTTTCTCAACGGTGTAAGATACTCGTTTCTTAATTCTCTTATCCGTTTAACTAACGCTAGTTTGCAGGTATCGACGTTAAAAGATTGATTTAGGATCAAAGAACATTCTGAATCATTCTCCGTCCCTATCGATACTAGGACTTTTGTTTTCAAAACTTGCGTTTCTCCAAACTCAGTCAAAGTGGGGGCTTTTGTAGAAACCCATTTGTGTCTCCCCAACACCAAACCCAGTGATGAATACCTTTTATGTCATTTGATTATCGAACAAAGCGAAAGTGTGAAAAGTCTAGTGATGGGGATATTTTTATTAAAATATCTCTTCTTTTTGTTTTTGAAAATATTTCTTTTCTTACCTTATTTAAGAAAAACATGAAATCCAGTTTAATTTGGTCCATGATATAGGTCCAATAATAATAGTTATATAGGGCTTGAAAAGACCTTTCCAACGATATATTATAAGCCCAATTCCGATGAATAATGAGGAAATTATGGCCAAAATACTAAACTAGGCCCAAACCGGATTTTACCTACGACCCAATGTTCATGTGGAGGATCCAAAGGTTTAATCCTATTCATAAACTAATTAGGATTAATTAAAAACTTCCACAAGTTTCTAAAAGATCTTAATTATCCTTTTTGAAAAGATAAGATTAAAGAATTTGTGTTAAATAAAAACTGTCCTTTTTTTAAAACTTTCCTTTTTCTTAAATCCTAATTCTATTCGAATTTAAAGATGTTCAAAGACAATCAGATTTAATTTTTGTGCCTCATAATATTTATCCTAATTTTATTTGGTTGGATAGATCTTGAAATTATCTTTCTAATGATATATTACAATATTAAATCCGAGTTATAACGAAAAAGATATGAATGAGATATGAAACTCTATCCAAAACTGACACCGTCCTAACATTTCGGCCATATAATTTTATCCACAAAATATTTTAATCTTATTTTAATTGGGTTGGAAAGTAGATTTCAATACCTTTCCAACTACATATCATATGCCTTATTTGGACTTTTGGATCAAAAGATATGATAAAAACAAAATCCGTAAAAACTGATAACCATCCAGTTTTATTTCGATTCGAATTCGGATTCTTTTCTTAATCTTCGACCCTCTTTTTTCTTCATAAATAGAGGTCATATCTCCCCCTTTTCAAATCATCAATTCTTATTCTTTCTAATACTTTCTTCTCATCAAATCTCATCAAGAATTTCTTGATTCTCTCCCTCTTTTCTAAGCCAACCCTTTTACAAAAACAATTCCTCATACATTAGCACTAGACACACCTAGCCAAGTTCGAAGTTGCCTTCGCCCTAGACGTGAAAGGTTTTAATTTCTGAGGGTTTTGTCCCTAATCTTTATTTCAATTATTTAATTTAAGGATATTTTGGATTTTAACACCTTACAAAAGGCTGAAAATGTTTTTTAACACCCCCCAAAAAAAAACTTTTATTTTAACACCTCCCAAAAATATAAAAGTTGGAAGTTAACACCAGTTAACGATTTCCGTCACGGAAATTTAACGTGGGTCCCACAAATTGGCTTGAACTTCAATTTTCACCCAGCAAAACACGAAACTTCTTTCTTCATTGAATTCGCACCAACCTTCTGCATTGAATTCTTTCTGAACCTTCATTGATTTCGCTTTTGAACCAAAGGAGATCTTGGCTGAGAAGTGGAGTGTAGGGTGGTGTCAACGTTGGAGAAGATAAGCTCAGGAGGGTTTCTTCATCATCTTCTTCAACTACAAAAGTGCGAAAGCCGCTTGAAATTCACAGAAAATAAGGTAAAATTGCTCTCCTTTGATAGCAATTTCGTCAATTACTGGTGCTTCATTGCTGTAAACCTTGCAATAATTGGGTAATTAGGGTAAATTTTGGGACCACAGTAGGAAAGCCTTGATAAATCAATTTCTGTAACTGACTATGTGACTTAGGTTAATTGGATTTCGTAATTGAAAGTAGAGATTAATTAAGGTGGTTTATTGTTAATTAAACTAGCAAGTGTGGTTTGTTGATTAATTTATGTTACTGAGCACCTACATTGGCTTGTATATGTTTATTTTCAATTTTTTTTATGTGTTTGTTTGTGTGGCTGTGATGGATTTGTTTATTCGTATTGTGCATGTATAGTTACATGGCTTTTAATATGTTTTATATGTTTTTCACTGGTGGGTAGATAATGGGTGACAAGGATAGTTTGGTTGACATCTGCCTTAGAGTGGGAGGTGCTTTTGTCCCTAAAAGAGTAACCAAAAACAGGCAGCTGCTGTGTTGGTGTGGTGGTTGGTGTTACTGGAAGAGGAAGGTTCAAGTATCTAAGTTGGATGTGCATTTGATTAGAACAGCTGCAATTCATGGTTTTGTTAATGGTGATATGGATGTGCCTATGCATTACAGCTGTTGGTATAGGCAGAAGGGGAAAACCTTTAACACTGGGAAAAGGGAACTAGTTAACAGTGAAGAGGTTAAGGGCCTTTTGGAGACAGTAAATGAAGAGGGGTATGTTGAGGTTTTTGTAACAACAGAAGCTCCTAGTCAGCCCATACAAGAGGCCCAACCCAATCCTCCAAAGACAAAAAAAAAGGATAAGAAGGTAGAAAGTTCAAATACATCGACTATTAGGAGGAGCCCTAGGTTTAAGGGAGGAGAGTCCACCTAGGAAAGCCTCAGCTAATGCTAAAGTGTTGAGGTTTGATGAAGAAAAGGATGATGGATGTGAAGGATCTGGTTATTCAAGTTCAGATTTGAGTGATGAGGGACAAGATTGGGAACCTGGTGAAGAAGAATTTGATGAAGGGGATGAGGAATGGTATATTGAAGGGTCAAAGGAGATCTTGGCCAAAGTGAACAAGAGCCTTAGGAAAGGTTTGGAGAGTGCAGTAGATGACAGGGTTGGCAAAGATAAGAGAGTAGAGTTGAGAAATGATTTGGATGTTGGAAAACCGAAGGTGAATCCAGAAAGTGATGCTGATTCAGATGATTCAAGGAGTTTGTGTGGATCTGATGAGGAACAGGACTATGCTCCTTGGTTTAATGCTGATGTGGACTTTGACAACCCAATCAAGTTGAAGTTAAATCAGAAATTCAGTAATGCTTCAGTCTTGAGGAGGGCCTTAAGACTTCATGCCATTCAAAACAGGTATGAGTTCTACTACTTGCATAATGACAGTAAAAGGATTACAGTTCAGTGTAGATACAGATGTGGCTGTGAGTTCAATAGCTACACTTGTAGAATGCCTGCTTGTACATGTGTGGGGGGGGTAAAGTGTCAGTTCAAGGTGTTTGCATCAAAACTTGTTAAGCAGCAAACTTGGCAAATCAAAACCTTGAATTTAGACCATTCCTGCTTCAGAGTAAAGAAGAACAAGATGCTTACTGCTGAATACATAGCAGAGAGGTATTTAGAAGAGTTTAGGAGTAACCCTGGTTGGAGAATTAAGGAGATTAGGGCTAGGATTTTGAATGATTTAGGAGTTGATGTGAGTTACTATAAGGCATGGCTAGCTAGGTGTAGGGCAAAACTACTGATATTTGGTTCAGCTAGGGAGCAGTATGCTAGGGTGTGGGATTATGGGAAAGCTGTGATGAAGTACAACCCTGGTTCAGGGTGCAATGTTGTTGTTGATGGTATTGACAGGCCAGAGCCACCATTGTTCATGAGGATGTTCATCTGTTTAAGGCCATTGAGAGATGGATTTGCAAAGGGTTGTAGGCCTTTAATAGGGTTGGATGGTTGTCACCTCAAGGGTGCCTTTCCTGGGCAAATTCTGGTGGCAGTTGCTAAGGATGGGAATAACAACTTGTTTCCTCTAGCTTGGGCCACAGTGGAGATTGAAAACCAGGAAACTTGGGGTTGGTTCTTGGAATCCCTTATGTCAATGTTCACACATGATCAAGGAGCTGGGCTGACCATCATGTCTGACAGGCAAAAGGTAATGCTTCTGTTTCCCTCTTAACTATTTAGGTTCAATTTCTAAGTTTTCATGTGTATGTATGTGATTGACTAATGATTATACTTTTGTCTGCATTTGGTAGGGTTTGATTAAAGCAATGGCTGATGTTATTCCCAAAGCTGAGCAAAGGTTTTGTGTGAGGCATATTTGGGCTAACTTCAAGCTCAACTTCACTGGATCAACCTTTAAGGAGCTGTTTTGGAGAGCAGCTAGGGCCACCACCATTGTAAGTTTATTGATTGTTGAAGCTAGCCTATGCTTTTATATGACTGTTGGTGTGTTTTTATATTGGTTAGCTTGTATATGCTTGGTGTGATTTCTGGTATGCTTTTATATGTCAGTTTGAGCATGAAATTGCCATGGAGTCTATCAAATTCCTCGATGAAGAGGCATATGAGTATTTAATCAACATTCCTCCCCACCATTGGTCTAGACATGCATTCACACCAAACTGCAAGTCCAACATGTTGTTGAACAACATGTGTGAGACTTTCAATGCAGTCATTAGGCCTGCCAGAGATAAACCTATCCTCACCCAAATGGAATGGATGAGGAGGTATATTATGAACAGGAATAATGAAAAGTGGGAGGATTCAAAAACAATTACACACAACTTAGTGCCATATGTGAGGCATGTTCTGGGGAGGATAGACTTTGTGGCTAGGTCCTGTGTGGTGCAGCCATCCAGAGGGAATACATTTGAGGTGCAGCTGAAGGATGACCAGGTGTTGGTTGATTTGGACAAGGAGACCTGCACATGTTACCATTGGGAACTCACTGGCATTCCATGTGTTCATGCTTATGCCTGCATATTGGATATGAGGGGTGACATAGAGGCTGTTGTTGACCCATACTATACCATGGACACATACAGGTCTGCTTATGAACCAGCTGTCCAACCAATGCCTGGCCCAAAGCACTGGGAGAGAGTCAGAATGAGGGAACCACTACCCCCTTCTGTTAAGGTGCAACCTGGGAGACCAAAGAGCAAAAAAAGGAAGCTTGAGCCAGGAGAATGTTCTTCTTCAGGTGGTCAGGCAAGTACCAAGAGGAAGAAGCAATGCAGCAACTGTGGGGGATATAGGCATTATGCCAAGACTTGCAAAGTACCTGCTGCACCAGCTACAGAGCTGATAAAGTCAGCAGGCAGACCCCCACTGAACACTCCTTGGATGGTGGAGGAGAGGAAGAAGAAAGAGATTAGGGCTGCTAAAAAGGTAACACAAGCATTACACCAACTCCCCCTTTGTTTTATATATGTATGTGTCTTTTCCATTGACTTTTTATTTTTATATGCATGTCATAGAGTGCAATTGGGGCTGGACCAAACAGCATAGGAAACAAAAAGTTTCCTCAAGAGCAAGAAGGTTGTCTGCCATTCAGCAAGCGCCCACAGCCACAGTCTTCCTCAGCTAAGCATTCCTCAGCTCAGCCATCCTCTAGTCAGCCATCCTCAGCTCAGCCTTCCTCAAGTCAGCCTGCCTCAAGCCAACCAAAAAGAAAGACAAGGTCTTCCTCAAGTCAGCCTACAACAGCCACAGGTGTTGTAACAAGGGCCAGGCTGCAATCCCTCAACAACCTTACTCAGTGATGTACTCATGCTGGATATCAAACATTATGTCTGTTGAACAATTTCAAACTTTTATTATGTACTCATGACTGGTTATGTAACTTGCTAGTTTTTTAGTGGCTTCCCTTAACAAATTTGAACAATTAGATATTGAATTGTAATGGTTGCATGGCTTTGATTGCCATTGAAACATGTTGAAGTAAGGTTCTTTTGTCAACCTGTACTTGAACTATCTTAGTGTTTCACATATTTCCCATGTTTTAATGTTTCACATGTTTAAATAGGTTGATTAAAAGACAAGGCATAAATAGGAACTTAGACAAGGCATAAATAGGTTGATTAAAAGACATATTTATAACACTTCAAGTCATTACAAGAAATTATAACTACTTAATACAGCTTACTATTACACACCCCTAGCCATTAGGAAAATTACACCCATTGACAAACCTATACAAATGGCCATGCCCACCCAACCAAAACAGCTGATTGAAGACACCTTCCCTTCATTGCACTCCCTGTTCATTCTCTTCCTGTCAGCGTTCAAGGCCTTGCATCTCATCTTCAAATTATCAACTTCATTAAGTAGGCACCTCCTTTGGCCACTGATTTCATCAACTTCCCTTTTCAATTCATTAACTTCACCCTTTAGCAGCTTCTTATCCAACAACAGGTTGTTGATAACCCCTGTTTGCCAATCTGTTCCATCAGGTTGATCAACCCATTCGAAAGCTTTGCAACCCCTTGTTTCTGTTATTGGGTCATAAAACTTACATGATATGAACTTCCTGCCTGGATTCTCCCTTGTCCAGCTAGTGAGCTTGGCCATTGGCATACCACACTTACATTTTCTGGCCTCAGGAGGGGAAGAGCTAACAAACGACATAATCTGCATCAATTTTAGATCGACAGTCACATTTACAGATTTGTACACTGACGAATTAACATTGACAGCAACAAAATTCATTTTTAATTTCATAATACGAAAAGCCCCAAATTCAATTTCTGACGAACCCTAATTTCGCAATTGGGCATTTAGATGCGTACATAACATAATCCAACCATTAATCTGAGTACGAAACAATTGCAAATAATAATTGAAGAGAATTTAAACCATAATTACCAAACAACCGAACAATTGACCGCACTCACCTGTTTCAGCAGCTTCAATCTGTTCCTCTTCTCAAAAATCGTGGAAGAATCGTGCAAGAATTGTTTCAAGTATCGTGCAACAATGCAATGCGCTGCTGCTATTCAATAAGAACAACGATTTCGTTCATTGGGGGAGAATCGTGCAAGAATGGTTCTTATATATCGTGCAAGAATCGTGGAAGAATGGTTCTTATATACAGATCTTTTAAAAATATATCCGTTGGGGTGGGCCCCACTAACAGTTCTGTTAACGGAAGATGGATTTTGGTGTTAACTTCCAACTTTTATATTTTTGGGAGGTGTTAAAATAAAAGTTTTTTTTTGGGGGGTGTTAAAAAACATTTTCAGCCTTTTGTAAGGTGTTAAAATAAAAAATATCCTTAATTTAACTCTTTGATTTTATATTTTCCTTGAAGTTATTAACGCGTTTATTTTGTTATTAGAAAGAGATACGAGGCATCTAAGTAAGTTCTTTAATTGATTTATTGATATTATGATATAGAAATCATGTCTTCGTTGTTATTATGATTCCTAGCGTCATGTTAGGGTGTTTTGATCTTCCTAGTATCATGTTTAGGGTAACAACTATAATTTCTAATATCAAATATGACAATTGTGTTTCCTGCGATGCTTCCTATTTTCTTCCTAATATCATGTTAGTACCATGTTAGGGCCATATATTTGATTTTTATTGTTTAGTGACATGCTAGGGTTTTTAATTAATCTTGTCAGTATCTTGCCTAGGATCTTGCGATTAATATTATGCTTTAACATGATTATTATAATTATGATTATGATTATGATTATTTTTGTGTTTAATTATATAATTTAACGTAATTTGTAAATTTACGAATTATTTCATGTTATTTGTTAATTGACGGATAACTTATATATAATTTGATTATTATTATGTTGCTTGATATTTTATTGTTATTGCTTGATCACACCTTTTACGCATAATTAAAGGGAATTGGTACTTGTAATCACGCTTAATAAGATAATTAATAATCTTGTTTAGGGTTAATTTGATTATAATTCAAGTGATCGCCAACAATAGTTTTATTTGTGCATTAAATTCAACCAACATAGATAAACAGGTTTAGGGTTAAACCTATTGATTGCATGTTAATCAGAAAGCGCATATGAATACGATCGGAATAAAGTAGAGGCCTATTATTAGGGCAGGTTCAATCTCTTTTAGGTTGGACTTGTACCTTCATCCTCGAACTACCAGTCATGGTTCCAGACCTATTGGAGATGACGATCTCCTGGATCGTTAAGGGGTGTAACCTTCACCTCGTGAACGGTTTACAAGTTCCTAAAACTTGTTGGCGACTCTTTTGCTCTATCTTCTTTCCCTTTGGACGCCACCATACTTTAGTGTATGATCACAGTGGGGTTCAAGCTAGGGATAATGCTTGAAATATTCCCTATAAGAGCTAAAAAAGTGTAGAAAGTTTCAAGCATAAAAATACAAAGATTTAAAAGCAAGGTTGCACACCTTGGGGGCTTATCGAGGGTCTTGATCATTTTATCCCCTTCTTCTATAACCTTTAGCCTAACCACGTTACAACCCTTAAAAAGACCTTTTTGAGGTATACACACACTTGTGCGAGGTTCGACTAGAGCTACATTTGGCCTGATTCCTAACAGATACGTAGGCAACCTCACATCGAGGTGTGACCGTGATAAACATGCATTCATATTCACATTCACACACTCTCACACCATGATCATATCAAAAGATCTCCAATGCTCATCCCTATTCACTTAGAGCTAGACTTGGGGGCTTGATCCCTATATCATTAGCTTACCTAGCCTAAGAGTCACCATTATTTGACTCTTCTAAAAATAATATCTTTTCACACACTTAGCCCTTGCAACCTAACTTTAGTATCACTATTACACACCGCACAGATACATGACCAAATAGTCTTTCCCTTAGGAACCCCTTATCATGAAATCTTAGCATAACGCTGAAGCATGCCTTGTCAAGTCAAAATCGCTCATCAATTATCATTGCATTACAAAGTATGAAGTGCTTAGCCTCCGCGCCTAAGTTACCTAAATACCTTCATTATCGAGTCAACTAGGATAGTCTAAGATGTTGCATGCCTTGTACTATGAGAGACAACATTAACAAATTAAGCTCATTCAACATGCACCTTCAAAACATTGCTTTTTTCTTTTTTTTTGCGTTTTTCTTTTTGGGGAGAAAGTCGGTACCCTCCACAAAAATGACTGAAGTTTTTGTTTTTCTGCATTTCGAGTCATATACATATCGAGTTTCATGAGTCAACACTACGCACACACGAGTCACATCGAGTCGGGTCAACCTCGAGTCATTCAATCATAGTGAGTCAAGTTTATACCTTGAGTCATATCAAGTCAATGAGTCCAGCAACACTAAACCTTAGGTCAACCCTAAAGAAAGATAAGCAGAGTCCTATGGTCAAAGATATAAATTCAGGTGCATCCCATCAAGCGAGGACATTCCCGGATTTTTTTCGAAAAAATCGCGAATATGACACAGGACATTCCTCCAAGATAAGAGGAGTTACATGGATCAGTAAATTAGAGATGAAGAGCTTTAATTTAAAACATATTTGAGCGGATTTGGTGGAAAGGAAACGACCAAGCTCAAAGTTTGGAGCAAAACCAGGCAACAACGGCAGCAAGAGCAGAATAGGGAAGACCCGACTCCAGCACAAGACAACAAGGCTTTCATCTGGCAACAACATCTGGCGTTCGACAACAGAGTTTGGCGCCTGACTCTAGATCCCAGCGTCTGGAGATAGAGCCAATTCTTGACGCCAGAGATATGTCAGCAGCGACAGAGCTTGAAGCCTCTCAGAATGGTTATTTACACCTCATACAACAATTTCGGGTTCCTTGGTACACAAGTAAGCCCCTATAAGCAAATTGACATGGTTAGTTGTCGGCTCGATTACAATTGTTGTAAGTGATTGACCTGACAAAAAGGCGTCTCACTTAGCTTAAGCGCCTAAGCATTGGCTCATTACAAACACTAAGGCATTGGTTCAAAAGCAAGCGCATCACTTAAACGACAACTTTTCCAAAAATTGGATTGTCATCCCCAACTGACAATATTTCCAAAAATGGATTGTCGTGCATCTTCTTCAACGACAATTTTCCCAAGATTAGATGGTCATCTCTAGCAAAGTTTCCAAGCGTGGATTGTCATGCTCCTTCTCTGCTTGGCAATTTTTTCCAAGTTCAGATTGTCATCACTGGCAAATTTTCTGAGATTGGATTGTCATACACCCAATTCCCTATGTCAAAATTTCCCAAATTGGGATTGTTGTAGGACTCTATTCATCATAAATTTTGGCAAAGGTTCCTCAACGTGGATTGTCATTCATTTCAGTAAGTGGCAAATTTTCCCGAAGTGGATTGTCGGTCGACTCTTTTTGGCAAATGTTCCAAGACACGGATTGTCAATTAAGGCAATATTTTCCTAAAAGGATTGTTGCATAGCATTGGCAAATTTCCAAGGTGGATTTCTTTCAAGAGTTATATTCCAAGATGTGGATTGCCTATCGTAGCAAAGTTCTTATGACAGATTGTTACGAAGCATTGGCAACTTTTCCCAAAATTGGATTTTGGCAAATTTTTCAAGATACGGATTGTCGCTTCATCGTAGCAACATTTCCAACGATGGATTGTTATGTGGCATTGACAACTTTCCC